TTATGGTTATGAATTTTATATTTTATATAAGTAATGATTTACAAGTTCTTCAATTAAAATAAAGCTATAAAAACACCCGTAAATCCTTTGTATTATAAAATATATATTTTATTTAATTAAAATAATTCTGCACATGTATGTACAATTCTATAAGCCTCATCAATAAATATATGTTGATTCATCACAATTACAATTACATTTTAAAATATAATTCATCTGTACAAACATGCTGGTAACATTTTGCAATGTTTTCGTACACAATGGCAAGTAATTCTTATACATAATCAGTTTTCATATATTTACAATTTCGTATATTGATAGTTATAGATATTTTAGTTAATTCAATCCTTTTCAGTTAAAAATCAAATGAACTAGTTTATTTTAGATCACATATTTTACAATATCACATTCATTTTTTTATGTTTTTCAAAACTACACTCATAAAATTATAAACATTCATAAAATTGCTAGAATAAAAATTGTTATGTAGATATAAAAAAAAAAAAACCTAGTTTCAATTTTACATCTTGATTAAAAATAAAAAGTTACAATAAAAGTTAAAATGTTATGTTGTCAGTTTACAATAAAAGTTAAAATGTTATGTTGCTATATTATATTATATATATTACATCGCATACCATAACTACATTTAAACACAAAGTATTATAATACTTAGTATTAATGAATACTAAAGTGTATTATGCATAATATATTTTTAATATAAAATTCTGTACTCTGGTCAACAAATTTTAAATGAAGGAAAATTAAACAGCCTTACCTTTGCATTTATTTTCCCATACATCATCAGTGCTATTGTCATCAGAACAATTGTAAATATTATTATCTTTGTCAGCAATTATAATTAGGCTTAAAAGCCTTTATTTATTCATTTTGTTTATTTAAAGACAAGTAAGTCATAATGGTGATGTCCTTCTCGAAATTAATCATTCCTAATATTCTTATTAATAAACTTATCATGGTAATTATTAAATTATTTCTATTCATATTACCTCTAATGACTACTTGGTACATCAAAGTAAAGTCAAATATCAGTCTTTTGTATACTTTTCACCAGTTTAAAGTTCATTCCAATAAAAGTCTTGCAGGAGCTATAACTCCACGAGGATATTCTGAACAAAGCATGACTCCAAGCCATTTCAACATATCACGAGTGTTGGAACCAGCAATCGTGCAACCAAAAAATGGATTGTCTTTCGACCTGAAAAAATAAAAAGATAAATAGTATGAAAACAAATAATACATCACATAGCATGAATTTAAAATGAAGTGATTCGGAATATACTCATATTAATTTTTAAAATGTCTGTTATCTTGTTGATTCTTTATTATTGCCTATATTATTTCCATTTTATTGCGTCCTGTGTTTTATTAGATGTTCTGTAAACTAATTTTACCTTTTGGGTTTATTTATCCTAGGTACAAAAGTGACTGCCCATAAAGACTGTGGGTTTCTTTTTGTTTCAAATCCTAGATACCAAACAATTTCTTCTATTTTCCATTCGCAAACTCTATTTGCACCCTAAAACACACAATTATGCATTATTAAAAATGTGATAAACATATATCATTATTCGAACAAATATTTACTTACACTTTTATCTTTGTAATATGTCAATTTTGCTTGATTGTAATCGAATGTTTGAACTTTGAAACTTTTGCTCTTCGTGTCTGCGAACTTTAATTCACCAGACATGGTGCAAGGTGCGCAGGAAAACGGTGCTACTTCTCTAAAGAAGTTATCTTTTCTTACGACTAAAATATTATCTTTTCTATCCTCATCATTCCAATATCCCCACCTAAAATAATAAAAACACATCCATATTTCTGTTTAAAGACAAGAATAAGTTCTGGAAATATAAATGTAACTTACCTGAGCACTGTTTCCAAAATGCTTTCACTAAAATGCATAGGACGCTTAGTTGTCCTTGCAGAACATTTTCTTCAACAATTAATTCGTGACCATTTATACCCATTTTACTGCTCATAGCGTAACAAATATCATTGGCAGTCATTTGAGGAGTTACCTAAAATTAAAAGAAATAAGTTTCATATTTTATGACAAAAAACTTAAAACTGTAACAGTTTACTTACCGATATTGGCACACAATCTTTAGTAGCATTCTCAAGCTGAATCCACATCCTGATATCTCCTGAAGGTTTAATCGGAGCAATACTATTAGCAGCACTATGGTACCTTCAAATATAAAAACGAACGATGAATGATTGACATGGTTCAATAATGTAATGTTCTGTATATTTGATCAATAAATGCATGCAAAATTTAATAATTTAATTATTAATAATTTGAAAAATCATTTACCTCATCAATACAGTCAACATAAGACTTTCTTTATTTAAATCATCATCTGTTAACTCATACAATTGTCTGTACATTGTTATTAAGTCGACAATCACGGTGTATTCAACAGTAGAATATTCAGATAGACCAACCTGTAAATTAATTTTTATAATAATAAATAATCAAAAGTACTATTTTATCTAGTTTAGTTATTTATCTTCAAAGTTTCTAAAGATTTTATTTTTATTTTATCTTCCAAGAGATTCTTGTACTTCTATTTATTGTTTTAGTAAAGTTTAACGCAAATTTTCTCATTATATCGATTTTATCGATTTTATTATTTTAAAATTTTAATTTTAATTTTATTATATACATTGATTACCTGGCTTTTAAGTAAAGTTGGCCCCCAAATTGCGGCTAAGTTATCCACAGTCATTAAATTTTTGCTCTGCTGACTCTGTATAAAGTGCAAATGCCCAACGAGTTTTTTCAAAGTGGCTGCATTAATCATGGGTAACAAAGCCAAATATTTTTTATAGTACGTCAGCTTTTCTTGTGAGTCTTTTTTAGCTACAAAAAAAAATGAAATAAATAATATTAAAAATGACAATTATAAGTAATATGATTTAACTTATAATAACACATCAACTTGGTTTTGGTGAAACCTTACAGTTGTTAACTGAATTTTGTTTCTAAAACAAACACTTTGTTTGCTATTATTTTTTATTACCTGAAGCTTTCAGGAAATATGGCGACAATTTGATAGTCAACAAAGGTTCTGGTAGATCTCGGAAAAATCTTTTTAAGGTTCCTGCAACATCGTGTTCAGTAAATTCCTGAGAAGACAACTGGACCCGCCAGGCGTCCACTCGGAATGCGGTCAATAATTTGTTCATCGCCACTGAAGAACCACTTCTTCTGTAAATTCCTTCTGAAAGACTTCCTGAAAAATAATAAAAAATATGTAATAATAATAAATAATAGAAAATAGATATCTGAAATCAATTCAAGAGTGTTCAGAATTTTTTATAATAGAAACAACATTCATGTTAGAATTTTTCATAATAGAAACTCATGAGTTAGGTTTAATTACATAACTTAAGTTATGTAATAAAAGCTAACTCATGAGTTTCTATCTGTATGATCAGATCTAATATTAAAATATTAAAAAGAATATTAAAATACTAAGCTAGGCGTAAGCACCACTTTGCCTTAAGGCAACCTGCATGAAATATCCGATATGGGCAAATAATCTATTTAAACAACTAGTGAAGTAATATATCGTCGTGTCTTGAGACAAATTGCTAGAACTTTCCATACTGAAAATTAAATTATTTAAAAAAGCTTTTTACCATAAAAATGTAAAAAAATCGTACTTAAGTACTTATTTTAATACTTTTAATTATAATTATATTTAAAATATCTGTTTATTTGATGTGCATATGTCTAAAGATCATTTTGACCGCCAAATCGCATATTTTTAAACTTTTTTACGATTTATCGCATACTTTTAAACTTTAAAAGGCTTTTTCTAAAAATGTAAATCGCCTGTACCATAACATAATATATTTAAAATATGTTCATTTAGTCATATGTCTAGATCATACAAATGTTTTTTAATCGATTCCAAATCGGTACTTGCCTCACAAAAATTTAATCAGAACTTCACTTTAGTCAATATAAATAAAATATTTTTTGAATCATTCAAATCTGTATCACCATTTTTGTTATTTTTTGCCCCGTTTCTCCGAAACGACTGGACGTACCTTTGCCAAAAACTAATCAGCACGTCTCTCCTATACGAATCGAATGTTTGTAATTATCCAAATCGGTTGATCCGTTATCCCAAAATCGACGACGGAAAATTATAAATAATCTAGCTGCTTTCCTGTTTACCTGTTTGCCTGTCTACTTGTCTGCCAATATTTCTAATACTCTAATACTTTTTATGAGGATCTTAGCATTTTCTACAAAATTTTGCAAGGATGACATCAGAGCCCTTGTACAATTATTGTGAGATAATTCATTCTCGTTTCGTTCATACTGATATTTCTTGGACAATTCTCTTCTCAGTTTAACTTCTCTTATCAAAATTGTGAAAACTAATTATGTAAGGTAATTTTGCAATAGTAAAGTATTACAAAATAAAACGTTTTATTTAGTTCACAAATCTACAGCATCTAAAAATAGTTTATACTTCTATCAAAAACAAATTAAACAAGTTTACAAAAAAAAATCATTTAATAAATTTAATTAATTACATGCTTCAATGGCATCTGTAGTCAATTTTATACGAGGCTTTCTAATCGAAAACAAATCCATGCTGTTTTTAAATAATACCGGGTTTGTTATTTCAACATAATCACCCATATCACTAGTATCCTCAATACCTTCCCCTACACCATCTGTTGGATGTAGTTTTGATTCAACGTATATTGCCAACTTAGATCTCAGTATTCCAGACGCATCAATATAATCCTTAAAGTAAGAAAATAATTGATCTTTTTTAATATTTTTAAGATACGACATATTAATGACATCTCTGTTGAAAATATTACTCTTGATTTACAATTTCTCGCCAAAACTTTTCGGTCTGCTGCTGATATAAATTTTAGGTTTCTCCAGAAACGCTGACTTCTAGTGCTTCTGCTTCTTTGTATACTTTGAACTGGTTCGCGTGTCATCTTTTCCATGATGGTTGTGAAATGTTTGAGGAAACTTTCTATTCTTGAATCAAACGTATGCCGGGTGCTTTTCGGATTGGGTACATATGGCCAAACCTTGAGTTCCGCAGGAGGTCCTACTTAATGCACGCACAATGTAACCTAATTGTTCTTCTGTTCTCAGGCGATCAAAACAGGGCTGTTGAATAACTTGCTCGAGTAGCTGCATGAGGACGCAGTTTTTGTGTCATTTATACCACATTGGTACAAATTAGTCGTGCAAGAACTCGAATGATATTTATGTTCAGCTTTAAATACACATTGCTTACCTTCCTGTAATTTGTGCTCTCTATTTATACGATTTTGTTTAGCGTTAATCGGTAACATATTTTGTAAGTCGAAATGATTGTCAATCACCTTACTTATTTCCATTGCTTGGGATCTATTATAATTGCCATGGACCAACATTTCAATATACATCTGGGAAAAAAGCTTTGGTATAAAATCCTGTAAAGACTGTGCAGTTACAAAGTCGCATTCATGCAGCATTTCCTCATTTGTCCAAAACGTTTCACTTAATAAAGAATTCAAGTAATAGAAGGTCTGTAAATACGGTAAACCGACTTCAAAGTTTTTCAATTCCTGCTTGCGATTTTCTAACATCACATTAAAACGGTTTGGATCGATTTTAAAATTTTTCATGCTTTCCATTATTGTAGATACAAACATAAACATTTTACTATTATATCCTTCAAAATTAAAAGTAATTGCTCTCGAAAACTGATCGCTGTAGTTGAAATGCCAATTTAAACCTGCTATTTTAGCATCATACATTTCTTCTTTAAGTATATCTTGAAGTACTTCTATGTAGAGACATGTTGAATTATAACTTGAAGGATCTATTATCATAAGTGGAAGTATAAGTTTTAGCTTAATGTTTACTTTGGGTAATAAAAATTCGGAGTCTTGCTTAAACCAGAGCCGCAACTGAGGATTATTTATCATTATTTCCGGATACGGCGTAACATTTCGCAAAGGTGACATATCAAATTCTGTAGGAATAAAACGGTTTGGTTGAGGTAAATGCAAATCTTGGTTAAATCCAGCATTTACAAGTTCTGCCATTTTCTCATTACTGATTTTTTCTGTATGGTACACAATACCAAAATATGGTTCATCATTTTTATCGCACTCTTTTTCATACTCTTTTGCAAATAAATATATACGAGAATTTTCTGGAGTAAATGTTTCTACGATTGACTGAATTAATGCAGAATCAAAATTGCGCATTGTATGCGCTCCGACTAGGACTTCTTGAAGTGGGTACAGAAGCATATTTGTATTAAGTTTGTATGCATACATTACTTCATCTTCTTTATCTGCATATTTAAAATTTATATTTGTTATCGCTTTGCATTCATCGTAGAATGATTGTTGCGGACCTTCTTTTTTTAACAAATTTATATACTGAAATATTATTGTGGCTATGTCACCAGTATGATCCAACCCTTCTTTCGTCATATTAATAATAATTATAAAAAAACCAAAGCCAAATTCTGAGTCAGAAGAACTTGTTAAATCAGTACACCAACCTAAATTTTTTAGTATCGATAAAATACTTCCTTTTCCTTTATGCCCAAAAAGTTGTGTTAGATACACATCTGGTGCTACACAATAATAAGCTCTCAGATCCTGAAGTGGAAATACTATTCTAAATAGTCGTTCATCTCGAATTGGCATTACCTTGGTGATCATACCCATAGTTTCAGGAGTGTAAGGATAGTCGGTCCATATGGGTGCTGTTATATTTTTATTTGGAATAGCTTCGAACAGATTTTCGACTACTATCTGCAAGTCATCCAGGTTTTCTTGTCCTATTACTACTAATACCATTATATTCGATGAATACCATTGCTCATGGAACTTTATTAAAGCTTCTCTGGTATC